TGCGTTCGTGCGTGGCGATTTTCGAGTCTCCGTCATCTCGTTGATTAACGTCCACCGACTGCTAACAGAACCCACTCGTTGCGCTCTGCTTTAGGGCTCAGCCTCGAGCTCCAACAACAGCCTAAAAGAGGCTAGTAGGCTAGGCAGATAGTAGAGCGGGATCAGTGAGTCCAGTTAGCGGTCGATGAACGCTAATCAACTAGGGCCCATATCTCCTGATCTAAACCGGCAATATAACGAGCCCCTGGCTCAATGGTTAGAGCGTTAGACTTCTGATACAAAGTTCATGGGTGGTACACCACCTGGAGTTGGGTGGGACCTGCTGATGACGGCTAATGAGCCAGAAAAGGCCATTCCATTCTTCCTTGTGTTTGCCGCCAATGCTAGCCCTCCAACATTAACTCCTTGCTTTCTGGTTTTGCTTTTAAAAGCCTCATGGAACGGCGGAGAGCTGCTGCGATGGAAAACCACACGGAGGCGGAAGACCCCGTAGTGCCTGTGACTTCATCGGCAAATTCTGCTCCCGCTACAATCGCCACCACCTCCACGGCCGCTGCGGATACGGAGACCAGCTCCCCAGCTGAGGAGACTTCCTCCGAGACTGTCGAGACTGCACGTTCACGCCCGCGTCCACGTGAGTTGTTTATACTTCGATTAGTAGCTTTAAGGGCTAATTCACCCCCTGTTGTGGAGTTCGAGGGCCATACTACATTTTTTCGACGAGGAAGCGGTAGAATAGAATGACTATTTCCGGCATATTAACCGTCATCAGTCAGCCTGTCTCAACCCTAGGTTTTGCAACTCCTGTGCCCTGTTATTTAGAAGTCAAGTGCCCTAACATTTGGGTCGCATTGACTTCGTTGAGAAGAGGCAAGTGCGATCGCTGCGAGAGGAACTTTATTCACCCAACGTTTCGGATTCCGTCGCGAATCCATCATCAGAGGCACTCTGAGACTTATTGCAGGGGGTTAAGTGAGTTAAACCCTAGCAACTACGATCTTCAGACCATAGTTACTTAGTAGAGAAGAAATTTTGGAAAGACGACAGTGTTAGGAACAGTATATTGTGTACACAGAGAAACGTAGAATAGATGGAAGAAGC